TTCGCTAGTCACCCCTTTGAGCCTTACTTCTTATTCTCGTTGTTGACCCTGTGTTGATAATGTTTGGAAAGTGGATGGTGACGATTGTCGAAGTTGTATAAAAAAAAAAAACCTAACGGATTATACTCTAAGTGCTCCAACCGTTCAACTACCGGTCACGAGCAATGAGTACGGGAAACCGGTCTAGGAGACTCGGGCAGAAAACTCGATGGCTAAACCTAGATAAGATGTCCATAAGGTTCAAAAAAAAAAAGAATGATAAATGTGGAAGCGTGTTAGCTTTGGTGAAGGTTGGAGAACTGGTTGAAACCGGAGGAGTTGTTGATTATGGTTGAAGTGCTGAGTTGTGATATATTCTATATTTGAGCCATTTGACCTATATTTATCTTGCCCGACCCATTAAGCCTACATTACACCCACAAAAGTCCTTTTGATTCATTGTCTCATTGATTTGATTGATTTAGAGTAGTGGTTAGACGATAGGCAAGCGTATGATCGATTTGACTGACGACCAATTTGAGTGCTCCTGTCTTTTATTTTTGCAAGAAAATGAGTGAGGCATTTACATCATATCTCCGTACTAGAGAGTTTGTGTTATCATGTGATTGAGTTCATTGTCATGGTGTGTTCGCGAGGTCACTTGAATTCTTTTCAACTTAGTTGATCAATTTGAGACTTTTCTCGTTTGAAACCAGTGTGCACTCTCTTTTGCTTGTTTTGATGCTTTTTCTTTTCTTTTTATTGTTCGGAACGAACAATGGTTTTAGTGTGGGTGAGTTGTTCGTTCCATTTTTGTTAGTGTTTTTTGTGTCTGTTTTATCTTTACTTTTCCCCATTCTAGGTGTTTTTCTTTGATTCTTGGTCCTTTTCGAGTCTTGTCGTGTTTTTCCTTTGTTTTGTTCGTCTTTAGTCTTTTTTGTTTCTTTTCTCCGGTTTTCGTGTGTTTCTTGTCGGTGGTGATGTGCAGGATGAGTTGCTCGTTGAATGGTCATGTGAGGACTACCATATAGGCGGATGAGTTGGGATCGAGTAGAAAGAGACGGAATCCGACTCCGAATCCGGATGCGTGCATACGAGGCCGAAAAAGTCACCTTGCCTGAAAGAAAAGCCTTCACTGCGGCCAGCGACGATGCTTCCGCAGCCCGCGGGGAGCAAAATTCTTCGCGCACAGTTTTACATGCCGCGGCCCGCGACTCTTCCCACCGCAGCCGCGGTGAACAAAAGTGGTCCCAGAAGTCCGTACTTCAGAGCAGAAAGTCCCGCGGCCTCGGGAGTTGGTCGCGGCCGCGGAGGTTCTTCATCGCGGCCCGCGAGATGCTCCGCGGCTCGCGGAGGCCGCGACATGCAGATTTTTAAGTCAGATTTTGGAATCGTTTTTCATTATGTTCAAAGCTAGGTTTTGGTTTTTCTCGTACGAAATAAAATTCCAGAACTGATATTTTTCACTTTGCTCTCTTGGGGATCAATCTTGAGGGTGAAAACTTAGAGATTTGACTCTTGGATTCGGTTGTTCTTGTTTTCGACATTGGATTCATTAATCGTAAGCTTTACTTTTGTTTTCTTTTCGATTAAGATGGCTTTGATTATTGAATATGTTGATGTTGAAATGCATAATGAGTAGCTAAATTCATTAGCTAGGGGTAGGGGATTATCGTTCCGGTTCAATTTCGTTTAAATGCTTGATAATTGCTCATCTTCCCGAGTTGTGCTTAACCTAGGGTTTAGATGCTTGATCACCATCTTAATCTAATTAATCGATTTCGAACCGAAAGGGGATAAATCGTTCGATCTAGGCTCGTTAAGAATAGGCTTGTTCGGTAACGTATTGTCTATGTGCTAATTGATTTGTTAATGATTTGTTTATGTTTATTCTCTTGTTTGGTGAGATATTGAGAATGAATCTCTAGATAAGTTAGTTTTTCGAGTCCTTTAGTCGAGTAATTGATTGCTTGTTAAATGCATTGAGAACCAGAAGCGAAATCCCCGATACTCTAGCCCCTTTAATCATATTTGTTCTTTGTCCTTGCTTGCTACTTTTCCCGCTTTATTTAATTATTTGCAGTAGTAGTTGATAATTCAAAGCTCATCCAATTATTTGAATTAGAATGTGTATAAATTTTATTTATTTTATTCCTTTCAATTGTGTTTGAATAAACGTGTTTAATAATCCGGCTAACCTTCCTTGCGATATGACGCGGTGTTTGAATCTCTCGATTCTACTCCGATAAAAATATTTACAACAGACCATTCAAAGAAATTCGTGACCGTTGATATATATATGACAATCGAGATTGGGGAAGCAGCAGAAACACTGTGGAGTGTGGGGAACAGCGGTACAGACATGCTGCCAAAACCCAAAAAGTGCTTATTTAAAAAAAAAAAAAAAAAACCTTTGGGACTGCGAAAGCCTTTCTTAGCTGAATTGGATTAATTCCCCTCAAATCCGCCACGAACGTCCCCGTGCTGACACTGTGGTGGCCGACAAGCACACACACACACACACTAGTTCAAGCTAGCTATCTCCTCAGAGAGTGAAGTGAGAGGGAAGCTCGTTGTTCACCAAGACTTTCTTCTTGTGTAAGCTCTATGGGGAGTGGTTTTGCACTCATCTTTGCAAGTTTCCAGCTGTTGCTGCTGCTTCTTGGTATGTATTCATTCTATCAGTCTCTTTTTCTCTTATCAATGGTGTTCATTGAGTGCAACTGTCATGTCTTATTGCTTGCCTCATCATTTATTCAGAAAAAAAGGGCTTAGATTTTCTGTTTGTATTTGCCAAGGTCTTTCTGGAACTGACTTTTGTTCGGATATTATTAGAATATCACTTGTGGGTCGTCCCACATTGATTTGATAGAGTAAACGAGTCTAGTTTATGAGCGTAGTGGGCTCACCCTCTTATGGTGTGTGGGACCGCACCCCTAATGCGCCGATTATGAAAATTTGACAGATATTATGTGCCAAATTTGCATAATGTAATGATATGTGGACATTGTAGCTATGTGAAGTTATGAATTTGGACACTGGTGTAGTTCTAATTCAGCGGTTAAGCTGTTTTTTAATAATCCGTTCATACACTGGTGAATTTCATTCGTTGTTCTATGAAATTCTAGTTTTTTCCTGTCCACATTGACGTCATCTGAACCGATCGAGTAATCGACGTTTACGGCGAATTGATAATCATTGGGTTCTACTCGATAGCATGGTCACATAATAGAGATTATGGGCTTCACTATTCTTGATCAGAAGTCAACGTAGATCATATGTAGATGTAGTGTACAACGAAATCAATGGGTACATTGGTTTTATTATTGTTGTTCGGTTCACTAGTGAAGTCTGCATTTTTTCGGTGTCTGGTTCTGAAACTGGTTATTTTGTCAATCACTTGTGACTTTAAGCCGGCCCCTTACACTAGTGTTTTAAGAACGATTTATTGGGCAACGAAGAATTCCTACTCTTTTCAGGTCACGAGTCGGGAATAAAATCTTAGCTCTTGAAAGTTTTGTTTGTTTTACTTCTGTTCGATTATAAATTATTGTTATCCCAATATGAAGAAGTGGCACAGATGAACAAAATGAATAACACAAAGTATCCTGATATTTGGTGAAAGGTCTATCTCTGATCCTCTTCATAAGTTCCACTGTCTTGTAAATTATCTTCTCCACAATCGTGACTGCTAGTCAATACTCATGACTTGTCAATGAATTATTTTCCCCACAAGACCGTGGCTTTCCTGGATGCAATGAAATCTGTGGGACACAACTGGATTGATATTGACAGGAAGCCGCTGGTCTCAGTTTCTTTAAGATTTAAATTTAGTATTCGTTTTTGTTTTACCTTTTCCTTTAGACCATGCTTCAATGGTTTGTTTTTACCCTTTTCTAGTTCCTAACTCTGCAGTTGGGGTTAAGTATCATGTCTAGTATGCCTTGGTCAGATGATCAGATATGTGTAACAGAGATATATTACTATTAGTACTAAAAAAATCTGTGCTTTTTAGGTGTCTGCAGAGGTGCGAAAATCGGGGTATGCTACGGGCGCAATGCAGACGATCTCCCAACTCCGGACAAAGCCGTACAGCTCATCCAGCAGCACAACATCAAATACGTACGTATATATGACTCCAACATCCAAGTGCTCAAGGCCTTTTCCAACACAGGCATCGAACTAACCATCGGCATCCCCAACTCCGACCTCCTCGCTTTCTCCCAGTTCCAATCGAACGTCGACACCTGGCTCAAAAACTCCATTCTTCCCTACTACCCAGCCACCCGCATCACCCACATCACGGTCGGTGCCGAAGCCACCGAGTCCCCCGGCAACGTCTCCTCGCTCGTGGTCCCGGTCATGCGTCGCGTGCTCGCCTCCCTGAGAGCCGCTGGTCTCCACACGCGCATCAAGGTTTCGACTACCCACTCTCTTGGCATCCTCTCCCGATCCTTCCCGCCCTCCGCGGGTGCCTTCGACAGCCGCTACGCGTTCTTCCTCCGACCCTTGCTCGAGCTTCTCGTCGAGAATCGAGCACCGTTCATGGTCAACGTGTACCCGTACTACGCCTACCGCGACTCGTCCACCAACGTGTCCCTGGACTACGCCCTCTTCGGTCCCTCCTCGCCTGAGGTCATCGACCCCAACACGGGCCTTCTCTACGCGAACATGTTCGACGCCCAAATCGACGCGGTCAATTTCGCGCTCGCTGCTCTGAATTTCCGGACAGTCGGGATCACGGTGACCGAGACGGGATGGCCCACGAAAGGCTCGGCAAACGAGGCTGCTGCCACTCCCGACAATGCGCAGGCCTACAATGAGAATTTGATCCGTCACGTAGTCAATAACACGGGCACGCCCGCAAAGCCCGGTGAGGTAATAGACACGTACATCTTCTCGTTGTTCAACGAGAACAGGAAGCCAGGGGCAGAGTCGGAGAGAAACTGGGGACTGTTTTTCCCGGACCAGACGAGCATCTACAGCCTCGACTTCACAGGGCGAGGGGTTGGGGCTGCTGCGGGCCCTGCTGCTGTTGGGGGCACGACTAATGGGACGTGGTGTGTGGCGTCGAGCAATGCCTCAGAGGCTGATCTGGAGAATGGGCTGAACTGGGCGTGCGGGTCGGGGAATGTGGACTGCTCGGCAATCCAACCGAGCCAGCCGTGCTATGAGCCCGACAGCCTGGCATCCCACGCGTCATACGTGTTCAACAGTTACTTCCAGCAGAATGGGGCCACTGACGTTGCTTGCAGCTTCGGTGGAGCTGGGGTTAGGACTACTAAGAATCCGAGTACGTATGTAGAAATTCACTGCATTATTTAGTAGGGATTTTTCATGCTCTTTCGAGCTAAAATTGATCCTTTTTTATATATATATATATATATATTTATTTATCTGCTTTTAAATCTAAGGTATCCTATTCCTTACCTTTCTTTTTTGTTTTGAGTTAAGTTGTACTATTATTTATTATTATTTTCTATTATTTTTTATTTTAAATTAATTAAATATTGATATCTTTATATCTTTTAAGCAAAAAATTAATAGAAGTTCTATTTCCTACCCAATATTTATTAAGAATATTCTAAAGTTAATATTATTTCAGGGATTTTTATTTGAAACCAACATTTCATATATAAAATAAAACAATGTTTCTTCTATCTGAAATAAATTATATATGTAGCCATCAGTATCATATTAAAGATAGAGAATGCCTTAAAGGTTTCTTATAAAATAAATTATAATTATATACATTAAGTACAAAAAAAAGCATAAAATAATGTAGAATAATATATTTTTTATTAGTTTTAAAATATTTTAATCTATTTATATACATTAATGTATAGTTTGTATTATATCAAACTAAGTAGCTACAAAAGACTCATGTGATAGCACAAATGGATGTCAAATTGAAAAATCGTTTGGAAAATGATATTTAGGAATACGAAGCACGCACCGATAATTTGATTTCAGGTGGTCCATAGTGAGCTGTGATTTTCTTTGTAACTTTTTTTCATCTTTTGTTTTCCGGTTTGAGTAAATTGGCTCCCCTCCTAAAAACTTCTTCGTTCTGTCTTGGCAGGCTATGACAACTGCATATACATGACATTCGGGTACATTATTACATATGTGTAACAGTTCAATAACATCTGTAGCTTTCAAACGTTTAGTTCTTACTGATTTTGTTTAAACGAACATTTTGTTGATTTTCGCTTGGAATCCCCACAGGTCCAACAAAACTGCTACTGCAGCTAATGCAACAGCTATGCCTTCACAATCTTCATCTGTACAAAGACTCCCATTCCCTGTGTTTGTTTTGGGTTGCTTGCTGGTGGTCTCGTTTTCGATGTTCCTGTAACACGGATGTTACATACGAGCTACTGTACGACTGAAGTAGATTTTCCCGTTGACGAAGGTAGAAAGCTCTTTTGTGATGAATGGAAAGAGACCGATGTATGAGAGCTTTAGTAGATTTTATTATCCTAATATTGAAAGACGACCAAAATGTATGCTTGTAAAATCAAATCTTATTTGGTTGCTATTTTGAAATGGAGAAGCCACTGCTCTAGCAACTAAATAAAT